ATATATAATAAGAACAGAATGAAAACTTATTAGATTTTTTATTAAAGTTAATAAATTTTAAAATTTTTTTACTAACTCCAATAAAATATGTTGGAAGTAATTTATAAATTAGAATATAAGAGAATAAAAACGTAAGGCTTTTCATTCCACTTCTTTTTACTTTTTATTTATTAGATTCTTTTTACCGATTATTAATGAGAATCTCTTTTGTTTAGATTCTTAAGTGGCTGGAATAACGAAGATAAAGGAATAACAGTTCCACTCACGGCCAACCTTGAGAAGCGAAAGCAACCCCGAGCATGGATCCTCCTTCTTATATTATATAAATCGATTATTTCTATAATTTTGGATGAAATCATATTTTAACAACCAATAATTATTTTCGCGTATCAGTACGACAGTATGAGAGTGTGTGTGTGTGTCAAATTAAAAATACTACTCCGTCAAGGAACTTAAAGATGATTTTTTTGAGCAAAATTAAAAAAATGGTTTAAGAGTGTATTTTGATCTGGAACAGTCATGATTATAATTAATGTGCAAATGCTTCTCACGGGCAAAAACAATGTATGTATAATTTTGGATCCTTTTAAAATTAAAAAAGGCAAAGGAGAGCTTGAAAAAGTGGGATCCACCACGGAATAGGCATGAAGGCGAGGGACCTTGAGAAGATAAAGTGAAGGGGGGGGGGGGGCACACATGAGTGAGAGGTTCATGTTAAAAGGTAAGGCTTTGATAAAAAAGGCACCTTATTCCTATGGATAGAAAACACCACCATTCCCATGATGATCGCAACTACAATTATTTCCAGCGACAGGTCTCTTTTCTTGCTCTCTCCCTCAAAATGAATTCATTTCTTGTCTTTTCTTTTTTCCCGTTCTTTTGGTGAACCAGTGAAAGCACCAACGCCTCAAAATTCAAATACACATAATTTCTTTTCTTTGCCCTGCATTATGACGTGTGCGCCTACATCATCCCCCGGCATATGCTTATAGTGATCCATTATGCCATTTGTGATTTGCGTAATTGCATTCATGCAGAAACATCTACAGTCTAGTAGTCTACACCCACCATTTGTGTGTGTATTAAGTGTATATCGTGTAAAACGACTGTTTTCTTCTATTTTATTTGGGACTTGGGATTCCATATTTTTCAGAATAAATTAAACTCCGTTCCCTTTCAGTTAAAAACATGGAATTGGAATATTTCCAATTGATCTAGTTGCCTAAAATTCCTGAGGATGACCAGGCCAATTTTACACCACCTTTTTATCTCCTTCATGCACCCCCCCGCCTCAAAACTTTTAATATGCTCGTGCCAACTTCATTGGGAACTTTGCCATGTAGAGAATCGTGTAGATGAACCCCAACAAAATGAAAGAAAGAGATTCTTTCTTGAAGATTAGTGCTGTGGTGTTATCCATACACCAAGTCTCCTTGCTTAAGTTTCCGAAATTGCCAATTTTTACATACGTTCAACTTTATGTTTAATTGGACTAAGGACAAATTTATCATTTGGTTGCTATACCCTTAACTCAGTTAAAATGTATTCTCTAAACTATTACTTGATGTCGCTCAATCATTATACTTTTAATTATTTAATTAAAATATCAGTCCCTATATAGAAGAATAAAATTATAAAGGATAAAGTTATTTATTGAAATTTATGGATTAATATTTTGAATGAGCTAAAATTCGAGAATTAGTTGCACCAAATTAAATATATTGAGTTATAACCAAGTCAAAACTATAAAGACTCAATAATTAATATTTTTAAATATAAATTAGAAATTGCACAGCACTAGTTTTCTTTTTCCATTTACGCAGAGAGGAGCATTTTGATCCAGTGGCATCTTGTTAATGATAAAAATGACCAAGAGCTTTAATTGGCATTTTAAAATATCTTGTTATTCTAAAGTGCCATTATGTTGTTTATTTTGCCCGAATTTGTCAATCTTGAACCCAAAAAAAATAAAAAACTCCAAGCATTAATGCGATCAGCGTAGCTAGCAAGTGTTAGTATAAAAATTGATAACTAACTGGCGGAACGAAGGGTTTATTGATAGATTATTAGGAGTTCATAATGCGCGGGGACACCGCTTTGTTCGAAATTCTGGATGGAGGGCGTGGACCATCCCAAGCAGGCAGAAGTGGTCCCCCAACCTCGCCCTTTTAGGCCATCAACAGTGCAAGTGGCAGGAACGATGCCTTGTTGACTCATCTCAACCATTCATTGTTGCATAAAGCACCCAGCTTTGCAACACACACACACACACACACACACACACACACACACACACACATTAATTTCAAACACCTTCCCCTCCACTGAACGCTAGCCAACAAGATTATAATATGCGATCATAATGGGATCGAGTGATGGAATGGCAATTAGTTGTATCAAAATAAATAAAAAACAATGTTGAATTTTTTAACTTATTTTTGGATAATTATTCACCTGGCGTGGAACATTGCGTTTGATGGAGCGCTGCGTGGCTCCGTCGTATAAATTTTAATAATGATTGAATCAATGAATTATAAAAGTACAGTTTGTTTCTTGAACAGTTTCAGCTCGTGAAAGTCTACTGAGCAATAACGGCTCTTCCAAATACGTCTTTTGGAGTATTATGTGCCCCTTTGACTTCGTTGTATTGAAAGGAAAACGATATCTCGACGGTTTCTAGCTTCGGTCTCAAATCAATCCTCGTTCCGTTTTGCATTGTTCATTTTAACGACATCATGACGAGGCATGTTTGAAAAAACTAATAATAAATCATTCGAAGTAGCAACCAGTGTCTGTCGCCGGGGTTGAGCTGAGCAAGACGGCTTGACCTTTGCCGCACCAGAGAAACATAAAAATATAAATAAAAATTACGAAATGAAGGCTGGACCTAGATGTGATGGAAGAGAGGGCAGATCAGCATAATATTAATCAATATTTGGCATGTTTCAACGCCCACTTTTTTAAAGCACAGACTATTTAGAGCATGCCTGTTGATGGCAAAAAAAAAAACAAAAACAAAAAATTACAATATGCCTGTTACAAACACACCGAGTCCACAATTTCATTTCTTTAATTCTCACCTCCCTTTGAAATTAAAAGGGGTGCAATCAAATGACAAGATGGATGATGATGACAACTCTGACCGAGGATAATTTTAAATATACCCATCTATCTAAATATTTATAATTTATAATAAAAAATAAAATGATTCCTAATTAATATTATAGTTTTGTATCATATAAACAGTGCAAATTATTCTCTAAACGACATAGAATTCAGCGCCTAATTAATTTACGAATAGAGCATTTAATAGAACTAAGTGGGCCTTAACTTAAGGGTCCAAGCCTGTATGATCGGGCTACACGCGATGAGCGAAAGCCCATCTCTGAAACCCGACATTGTTGAGACCCAAACGGTAATCCAACGAAGAGATGAGTCGAAAGTTCTCGGGCCCACCTACGTCCTCCATAATGGAGGAATCCAGCATTTGATCGCCGCTAGGCGAGGCGGAGAGTCTGAGTCTCCGAGAGAGCTCTAGCACTCTGCCATCGGACTTCACCTTGACTTCTTCACGCAAACAACTAATCAATCCATCATTCATACAACCAGTATTAATTTTTAATCTTGTCTGACAGGAATTAATTTCATATAATTACCAGGCTTTGACAAGTTAGTCTCCAAAAACACTATGCCCATGTGCTCATGAAAATCATAACAAGTCATGCTACTTAATATAATGTATGTATATATATATTTTTTGTCAAGCATATTATTTAATATTTATAGGTTACGATCAATATGACTTGCTTTAAGGCTTACGCAGGAGACTTGATCTGATTTATCATTTACATGTGACGCCATTTACACATTTGCATAGGTGCAGGGCCGACCTAAAGGCCGGAGTGAGGCCCAAAATATTTCTGAAGACTGAGGGCCGGGACGACACACACCATCGCCACTGCGGGCTCGAAAAAATTTTTAATCCTATTATTCATAGGGATATTGGGTTTATAGTGCCAAGAAAAATTTTAAATTGAAACGCAAAAATAAAGGACAGGGCCCCTCCATTTGTACAAGTGGGTCCGCCCTCATGTGCTCATCACGCTGCTTGTAAAGTACCATGTACTTATGTTGTACATCTCAAAGACGGGGCTCGTTTTGGGTGGTAAAGTGGCAGGATATATATAAAATGTTTAAAAATCGAGAAAGAAACAACAACAATTTTATTTCAATCCAAATATTGAGAAAGTATGGGTCTCAATGTATAATATGTTCTAGGTCCCTTAGTGCAATTTCCCTTTCCTGTTTGAAAACGAGAGGGAACAATTTTCTTTTTCTTTTTATAACCTTGTAGTTCATGTAAATGGGGGAATGTAATGGGTCAAAGGAGATGAGGCAAACTGATTTCAATGAGATTCTATGAATACTCAAGATGTTATTTAAACTTAAGTCTTCTTTATCTCTTCCTTTTCTTTGTAGATTTACCATGTGAGCTAAAATTAATTTTGATAGAATAATTTCATTTTCATATACTTCTTAACAATTGGTGCAACTCACAATGTATATTTTCAGACTCCATATTCTTACATTGATATTAGAGCATATGTTTGATTTTAATTTTCATCTGTGACTGAATATACATGATTTACTTACACATATTCTATACAAATATATATTGTTATTTTTTCATTATTGTGCTTTCCATTTTTTCTTCCTTTGTACCCTTTTTCCAAATCAGTTTGTGTGTATGAAACTTCTTGTATTATTTCTTGGGTTATATATGTTGTATATATGTCCCTAGTAGTCTCTACACGTTGCTCAAAACTTTGTGCGTGAGAAAACTTCAAGAACTCTAAAAATGGATGACAAAACTAAAACTTGAGTCTCAAAAAATGGAATTTTTTGGCAAATGGGGGGTTGTGAACATGTAAAGTTGAAAAAAAAAATGAAGAAAACAATATCAAAAACATGCACAAAATAGACATCAAGAGGCAAAGATATGACTCTTTAAAGTTATGAGTTCAATAGACTAGACTTGATGGAGAAATCGAGTCAACGTGGCCCGACAAGAGTTAGAAGATGATAGGAATGCTGTTATTTTGGCTTATCCTAAAACAAATTGTTGCATATATACATAAAAATAAAGTCGATAATTCGGGCGAGCCAGCCTCACTCGAGTTGGACTCAATTTGAGTTTGCTTATATGAATTGGGTTTAAAGTATCTTATTCCCTTAAAAAAACTCATATAACTAAGTCTAGTTTTAACTTTTTTCAATTGAATTCAGGTTGGCTTGTCAAATTTAGCTAAAATTATTAATTCTATATATAAATAGTCGAAAATTTCAATGGTCAAACTTGTTCAGGTCAAATTCAATTTGACTAGACTTAAAGTATCTTACCTTTTTTAAAAAAAAGTCTATATAACTAAATTTAGTCCTAACTTTTTTTAGATGGATTTCGGTTAGCCTGTCTGGCTTTATCTGAACTATCGACTCTACATAAAAAATACAAGCTAAAAAAAAAAATTCAAGTCTAAGCCCACATCTATAACCGCACACATTCATGTAAACGGGGGCATGAGAGATGATGCAAACTGATTTCAACGAGGTTCTTCAAATACTTAGAACGTTCTCCAGACTTCACTCTTCTGTCTCTCTTCCCTTCCTTCGTGCATTTGATATGTGAACATGGGCTGGGTTTGATAGAGTAATTACGTTTCTGCATACATCCTAACAAACGGTGCAACTCACAAGATATGATTTCGGGCTCCATATTAATCACACTCCTCATCAAACATTTTCATTTTTCATAAAGCTGTAACGCGCATTAATCAAACAAACGATGACAATCATCGCACCTATCCTTGTTGGTTGAAGCCATGTGCACCTTTGAAAACCATTTATCCCATTATCCAGGCATACATTTTATTACATCAAGCGTATGACTAAATGAGCTGCACATGAACAGTAAACTCCTAAATAATGCCGTCATGTAAGCAGATGCATATTGTTAGAAATTAAGGCGTGCAATAACGTCGAATAATATTACAGGATTAATGGAACAAGTAACTAGTGAATATCTAGATGGGGAGCTGAACAATTATTTAGTTGAACCATGAATCCATCCTTTTTTTTTTTTTTAATTACAATCATTATATTCACTCCCCCAGTCAAACATCAAATGCCAAACTCCACAATCTCAATTGAATAGAAAGTATGGAAATAAACATCACAGAGCCCTGGTACGCAGGGCTTTATTTTTATCCCTGATCAGCAACAAAGACAGGTGCACAACAAGCCACACAATCAACAACATCAGCAATACGATATCTTAGCAGACGCATTCAATATCTTACCGCCTTTTCAACGATTCATTCTTTCCGAATCGAATACTTGAAGTAGTTCTGATCTTCTTCTTAGTACGGTTGATAAACTCAGAAATGTGATCTTTGTGGGTATCCTTTTTCTTGGCAACGTTCAGACTAGCCTCGTCCGGTGCAGGCTTGCTCTGCCCCTTCCCAATGTTGGACATGGTTCTAAATTTCTCTCTAGCCCTTTGAATGTACTCACCGAACATATAATTCACATCCTTCTTATTATCATGTTGCTGATCAAAACCCCGCGCCGCAGGCTTGCCTTTATCTTCACCTTTAAGCCCAGCTGCTGCGTCCACAGCAGCATAGTGTGGTCGTTCAGGTTCAATCCTGGTAGCAACGTTGCCTACTTGGGCCTGCCCATTGAAAGTGGGGTTTGGGTGATCAACGAACTTGATGGGAATTGCTCCGTTTCCTTCGCCGTTATAATTTCCTCTGAGATGCCGAGGTCGAGGCAATGGAGAACCGGAAGGTTCTTGGTGATGATAGTGCGAGATGCGATGAATAGTTCGCACGGCGGAACTGTTTGACAGTGCTTCACGGATTTTCGTACACCTGGAGGAACGTTTTGGATGGCTGTTTCTTTCCATGTTGAAAGTGCAAAATATGACGCTACTCAACGAGGGTTTAAGGCTTAGGCGAAGACGGAGAAGATTATGGGCTGAGTGCGACTGATCTGAAGAAGCTTGCAAGCAAGTTGTTATATAGAGTGTATGTCCGAGAGAGGGTAAAGGGAAAGGTGAGCTACCGAAATTTGATCTTCGTGGGAAACCAATATAATTGTGATTTCACTTTGCAGATATTCCTAACGACGACTAAGCAAATAGCCTTTTCCCAATTTTTCCACGGATGTGATTGGGAGGGATCAATTCCCACTTCACTTGTCCCTCTATTCTACGTTAAAATATCTCAAACGAGTGATTACAGCTGTTATATTATGGGCTGTTCTATTCTGTCCATCTAATGCTGTTATATGTTCATTCGGCAACACAGTCCTTTAACAAATGATAAAAATTGAAACGTGAGGGAAAGCGATGGGGGCACCTAGATAAGGTATCGGATTCAAGCAAGACTCGTAGATCCGAAGAAATAAAGAAACCTCTACATTGCAGATGTGGGCTTCCACGTAGGAAGGCGTGATTCCACTGCTCATATACACGTCAAAGTAAGAATAATACATAGCTTTCTGGGGGAAGATAGTTACATAGTTTATTGAATTTACTGTTACTAAGATGAAAGAATCCACGATACCTTAATTATATAACAATAACAATTTACCACCATTTTTTCCTCGTTTCCTCTGAATTTACTCAAGTTCCAATCTTAGGCACAGCAAATGATGAAAGACCCTGCAAGTTTGTAATACAGAGGGTCGCGTATATAGCATATATCATTTGCACGATTCGCATTTCTACGTTGTTGCATTCACGTATTTTAACTAACGAAAAAAATTGTGGGAAGCGAGCGTGTTAGTGAGGCAGCGCGAGAGGAGAAGACAATTCTTTTATTTTCTGAGGTCACTTGTGCAACGACGCCGAACTTCAAATGTGAACCAAACTCCCGAGAAAGAAAGAAAAGGGGAAAATCAACTAACAGGTGTATGGGATACAGATATGATTTTGATTGGCCTGCAGTGTCAGGTTATACATACGGACCCTTTTTTTTCCGTGTCACTTGATGTTGCATGAAAAGGAAGACTTACTTATGAGGCAGCGATGTGGAATATGCTGCAGGCATAGCATGCTGCTCAGATTGATTAGGAAAGTCCAATGTGGCGAGCCTTGAATCAAACAAATGGGGGAATTAAATACGAGAGGGGTCTAATTTCTAGAAAACCAAGCACTCCCAGTCCCAAGTATTAGGTCCTTTATTTGATTGTTTTCTGGGCAAAGATTCCCCCTTTTGAAGTTCACCCATTTTTCCACGATAGCATCTTATGTTATCCTCCTTGCCACAGACGAAAAGGATATATGCCAAACCGCTACACATTGCCCGCAATTCGGTTTCTAGCGACTACAAAATCCACTTCTTTAGTTCTTTTAACCCTCCAGCTACAGAAATAGCCCCACAGTGAGGCTGTGAACACTTTTGTCAGCCCAATTAAAATAAGCCCATAAAAACAAAGTACAAGAATGATGTATTCACAATTCGTACAACATTCTATCTCGTATCACCGGTCAATAAATCATGTCTACTATTAGCTGTTGATTTTAATAAAAAAACATAATCTAATAATAAAAGATATCAGATAACTATGTTTAAAACAAAGCTAAATGATCATATCTTTTCTATTTCTTTCCAAAAAATCGACAAACACCAAGAGACACATAATCTGTTCTATGAAAAGCCATCGTAAAAATTTTTCAACATAAAAAATGTATCAATGTTAAGGAGTGGATAACAATAACGTGCTCCGGATGTTTGAAACTTCAGTAAAGTACAATACACCAACTATAGCAGTTGTAAACATATTTACAAATCCAGAAGTCAAGCACCAGCTATTAACAAGCAAGAATCATGTTCTTGGTGTATCTCTGAAGGCTTGCTTATTTCAGATTCTGAGGCAGAACCTGTGAAATTGGGTGGTGAGCAACTAGAGAAATTGTATCATCCCCGTTGACCTAAATGTTATTTGGCTCCGTCATTTTTAATGACGATATGTCTTCACTACCTGCTCTATCCGCCCCCGGCACAGAGGACAGTTGGTTAAGTGGGAAGAGCAAGCTGTACAGCAGCACATATGCCCACACCTGAAATTGTACATGGACTTTAGTATCAAAGGAACACATCATAGACCAACAAATCCTGCACTCCTGCAATTTAGAACATTTTGGTCGAGCAAGAAAGAGGGCAAGATTAGCAGCTTACGGAACAAAAACAGCATTATACTCATGCTCAAGGCATATCACACATAAATCTGGCATTATGCGATCTCTTTTTGCACCATCCGGTAAACTGTCAGCCTTTTCACCTAAGAAAAAGTCACAATTTTTGAGTACCTATCCAAAAAGTCACAGCAAAATTAAATAACACAGATTCTCAGCAATGTACCTTCACTATCTTGTCCTGACCTCTTAGCAGCTGCAGCAAGAACCCTACATAAACAGAATAACACAGAGGTAAATGAAAATATTGAATTACTGCGATTTGTCTGATTCCTTTTTCCTAATTCAATTTCTTGCAATAGTATTCAGTTTTTCAATACTACTGAGAAGGATCATGAGGTGATGTATACCTCTTTTGTAGTTCACAACGGCGTCGTCTTTCCAAGATGTACTGAATAGCATGCTTGGCCATTAAATAAGCACCAAAGAGGGTCAAGCCCACAGATGCATACTTATACCACCTAAAAAGAACGTTTCAGTCAATCCAAAAAGATGTAAATCAAAACATCAAATAAGAATCTATGCATCTACAAGCCAACCTTGCCCATTTTCCTAGATTGGCAATAAGCTGATCAATTGTTTTTGGAGAGACATAAAATGGTCCTTTGTGGGGTCGCTGAATTCGGATGGTTCCAATGTCATCCTTAGCAGCCTGGCCGTTGCAAAACAAATTATGGTTAGTAAAACATAGAGTTTGTGCATAAAAAAAATTTAGAAAATGCAGACCCCTCCTCTTTGTAAGATGGACTACTCTTTCAATATCATTTGCAATTCATATAGGAATCCCCGTTCAATTATTTCAATATTATTTGTAATGCATACGACTACAACTTCATCCCCATCACATACCTCACCAACAACTGTCAAGGATGTGCCGATTGGAAGTACTCGTTCAATTCTCTTGACTCCAAGCATCTAAAAAGTGTTTTTAACTATGTCAATTGATAAAAGACAGGGAAGTTCCTCTTCTCTAATCTAAATTCAATTTTGGGGAGGTGAGAAAGAGCCTTTTGGGTTGGGGAATTATATAACAATGCTCCCACCTTGAGACCTTGGAGATAATCTAATGTTCCACGTACAAGTGATCGACCTGACTCTTCAAATGCTTCACTTCCAACAGGTAATACAAAACCTGTAGCGCCCCTAGCTCCAATCACGTGAACATGACCAGTTCCATCATCCTAGCATAGAAAAATTAGTGATGATATGCATATAACTTGACCATTCACTTCATGTGAATTTGGTTTTTGTTATAGAAAAATGCATTCTGCCAAACTCATTGTTGGGTCTTTCATTTATCTCGGTGAAAGGGGATCATCACTCCATAACTTTAATTACTAGTTAATTACTAAGTTTAAAAGGGGGGAACATATATCCACACCAGATACCAAGGAACTTCTTTGCTCATGGATAGCATCAAAGCAGAATCTTGTATCCACGAACCAGCATCATTGTGTTTAAGAAAATGTTGCTCTGCCTAGAGAGAAAAGCACAACCATGTTAAATATCAATCGACAAGGACTGAAACAGGATAGGCAACATTTTCATAAAAAAAGGACTATTCAAGCTCTGTAGAATGTTACGGTTCATCTACCGTTTCTTCAACTATTACACCCCTCAGACCACTGAATTCACAGTTGACTGGGGTTTCAGAGCCAACTCTTCCGGAAATTGCAACAACCAGTGGTAATATTTCACCATCTAACAGTTGCGCTGAAAGGTGAAGAAATACAAAACATGATTAAAACGACTGCTCATTACGCAAAACCAGGAATTACTAAGCACTCAAATAAGGTCATTCTTAGAGCTAAGAGACTATCTCAGAGACTGATGCCACATTACCACCAAAATTTAGACACTAGAAGATAGAACTAAAAAAAATAAATTAAACTTTAGAAAATGGTGACAGCATAACAATTTGTACTAAATTAAGAGATAGAACAGCACGGTCTGTACAATCAAATAAGGTCATTCTTAGGGCTAAGAAACTATCTCAGAGACTGATGCCACATTACCACCAAAATTTAGACACTAGAAGCTAGAACTAAAAAAAATAAATTCAACTTTAGAAAATGGTGAAAGCATGACAATTTGTACAAAATTAAGAGATAGAACAGCACGGTCTGTACAATCAGTGTGCAGTGATGATAATTGGAAAGTGACACTGGGATTGTTATCCGGTTGAAACAATATCTGTAATTTTCAGCGACCAGTTTTAATATAATTTTTTCAGGTGAATAGCAAACAAAAGTAGTTGAAACAATGCTATTGATTAAAAAATTGTGTTCCTGTAAGATAACAATACTCAATTAGGTGTGATGTAAGCAACTTAACTAAGCTCATCTAAGAGCACTACCAATTCAAACCTGCATTATGCACCTTTAGGATCTGAGACTTATACCATACATGTTTAATATAAAACTTCCATAAGCATAGTCTTACCATTTACTGGAAGCATAAAAAGAAGAAAGTCTCACCAGAACTATCACATCGGATTCTGGAATTGATACATACCTAATTCCTTTAACTGATTGACACGGTTAACGGATTTAAGAATTTCGGCATCTCTGTACCATACAAATAGCTTCCCATGTTAGAGAATGCCACAACGGATCTTACGCAAATATAGATTACACGTATTAGTCATAATCCATAGCTTAATACTGATGAGTGAATATAGACAACAATTCACTTACCTGCCACTACTTCTACCGAGAAGGTAAAGAGCAGCCGCACTCAAACAGCAACTGACTCCACCCCAAGGGACCATCTTCATCGAGAGCTCTGATGATCAACAACCCTTCTCCCAATCAACTAAAGCCAATGCTTCCCATTCGTTTACACAAGAAAGGCGGTCAACTCATTTGTAAGAAACCCAGAAAAGTCGAAATCGATCCAAAAATTCCAAATACACAGCACTGTCAAGATGAGATGGCAAAGCAAGAAATGGATTTTCGGCAAAGGAAGTTGGGACAATCTAAGTCCTGATTGTGTTCGCCAAACTTCCTTTCTTTCTTAAAGAAAGGAAACTAGAAATACAAGGGGGAAAGAGAAGGAAGCTTGGCAAGGAAAACGGTGGAGAAAGTGAGAGAACTCGATGCAAAGAGTAAAGGGAACGGCAAAGAGACAGAAAAGTGAAGCGCTGGTCCGGTCCCTGGTGCTGGTGTTGTGCGTTACCTCGGTCACTGGTCCGTCTTGTGCCCAGCCCGAAGATATCGCACCTGTTCGCCAGGGGGAAAAAAAAAAGTAGTTATCCCCCTAAAAATTAATTAATTAATTGTTTTCTTAATTTCGTATACACCTCAAATTTTTATATTTACATATTAAACTTTGTATTTTTATGAGAAGCAAAAAGTATGAATGTTTAATTTTTTTATTTATAACTTGTATATGTTTTTTTCCAAATATTATTTATATTATCTCGTTAAAATATTTTCTTACACGAATAAAAATAAAGAATGCAGAAATGTTTGACAAAATATACCTTTTTTTTTTTGAGTCAAACACAGAATATACTAATTATTACAATTACAATATAATATGCATCTATAAAAAAAAAAATATGTAGTTCACATAATTCTCATCGCGCGTGAGATATATTGTTTTCCTCTTTGAAGTTCACCACTAATAAGAGTCACGAACTTGCAATTCCTATGACCACCAATTTGTTTGTTCGGTTGTGCTTGGTTGGTCCACTGCTAACAAGACTCGTTCTATCTAGCCAACAACTGGGTCTTGCTTTATTGGCATGCAAATTTTGGTACAATTTAATGGAAGGAAAAATCAATCCCGACTTTTCATGACCGGCTACAGAGGAAATCAATCATCAATCAATAAATTAATATATTGTAGCGAAACATATAGTACCAAATTAGTTAGTCCTCCCTTTCAATTGAGTTTTTCTTTCCCCTACAACTCACCTAAAAAAACAAGAAGTAAAAGCTAAATGCATGTTTCCGGCTAACAAGGCATGCATATTCTGTCTTTTTGAATGATGCGTAGGGGTTAAGTGCCGAAATTGGATACAAAAACCGCAATGGCAGAGACAAGGGAATGCCGAACGCTATTTTTTTTTTTTTAAATGCTGAATTTCATTTTGCTAACCAAGGCCCAATAACTCGAGAATTTTCACTAGGACCGCCAACACCACATCCATTAGTAATCAAGCCGATCGCAACAAGTGAATTAGCATGAAGAATCACATCACATTTCTTCTAAAATTCAATACCACTATGGTTCAACACTAGTCCCTAAAAAACAATCAATAATTAATTTCAGTTCATCCCAAATGCTCGGGTTGGGAGAATTGGGCCACATTGCCGCGGAATTAAATGGGTCGGGCGGCGCTGGCGGGCAGACACTGCGGTGTAAGTAAAACCCTCGACGCTCCTAAAACCCCATTCCAGTAAGGTGCAGTTTTCGCCTCTCAGCGCTCGAGGCTCTGCATTCTCCGCTTCTAGGGCTGATTCTTCATTTTCATCTCTTAAGCAACGACTTCTCTCACCAATGGCGTCGGTGGCTCTCAGAAATTCTGCTTCCAAACGTCTCTTCCCATTTTCTTCTCAAATCAACTGTTGCTCTCGAGCGTCACTCTTCGCTAATTCCCTGCTCTCTGAGCTGGTTTATGGACATGAGACAACCTCTGCTTCCAATCCGTGGTGGAGGTCCATGGCCACTTTCACACGAACGTAAGTTCTGCCTCAATCCGTTACTACTCGCTTGTGATCCCTACGATCGGGTGTCTCTATCTAAACGTGGCGTCATAGAATTGAACATTATGAATGTATCGGCGGCAGACCTACAGCACAACAGTCTGCCTGCCAGTGTCACACTGCATTTAGTGATTTCTAGCCTTGCTCACTTGGATTCTTTTCAGTCACATTTTACTATCGAGAGCAATTTTATGATGATTTCCCGCCCTAAATAACCAAAAGATTACTGTTCCACGGGGATGAAATTTTTTGCTATTTCTTTCTTAGATTGCCTTGCCGCCAAATCAAATATACTTGCTATGACATCGTGCGCTGTAGATTTGTCTGTAAATCAAATGCTGACTCACCGGTAGCTACTCTTCCAATTTCAATCTAACGATTCAAATCTAAATATAAGGTGAAATCCTTTCCTTAATTAGGTCAGTGATGACACCCTGGATCCTGCACAGTGCATTTGTCTATAAAGAAATGGCTGACTTACGGCTAGTTAATTATCCAATTCCAATCTAAGAATTATAATCTAAACGTGCGGTCATATTGCGTTTGCTTAATATGTTTCAATTTCGTGAATGGGGGAAGGGCTACAGATTGTATGACGTGATACGCTTTCCCTTTTCGCTTTCCTCCTCACCGGTCGTCTTCACTTGCTGACAGAAAACCCCATGTTAATGTGGGGACTATCGGGCATGTTGATCATGGGAAGACTACACTCACTGCAGCAATTACCAAGGTTTGTACCTCTTCAATCTTTCCTAGATCTCAACCTTACAAATCAATGTTTTGGTACGAATCAGGAAACATTCACTCTTGTAGCATCAGGATTTATTTTTCTGGCTTTTATCAGGTTCTAGCCGAAGAAGGAAAAGCTAAGGCTGTAGCGTTTGATGAAATTGATAAGGCTCCTGAAGAGAAAAAGCGAGGAATCACCATTGCAACGGTTGGAACATATATTGCTTAATCAATCATTCAAGCAGGCCTTTTTGGGTCGTGCAATAGATTACTGCATTTTCTATCTCACTATTCTGAGATGATAATAAGTTGATTTTCAGGCACATGTTGAGTATGAGACAGCTAAACGACATTATGCACATGTGGACTGCCCTGGACATGCGGACTATGTTAAAGTAAGTTTTAACTTCGCTTCTGCCTCTCTAAGACTTGCCTGGTTAATACTTTAAGGCAACCCTGTGGAGAAGTTGTCACAAATATTGAATCTTTTATCTCTAGGCTTGTTTTCCTTGTATGCAATGGTGGCTGAAAGAAAGTAAGAAATGACCCAAATCAGTTAGTTATTATTTCATAAATCTGCTTTATTGTTTTAGTGTTAATTTTGCTTGTATGATTTCTTCTACTAGTTGTACTGGATTTTAAATTAAAAAGATAAAAAAAAGCGTTTCTAGTAGTATTTTCTTGCCAAACGATATATAATGAAAGCCTATTTTTTGGTGCATGCCTTATATCTAAAAATACAAGACACAAAAGCATTCAGTTGGAGTGTCGTGATATCCAGCCAAGTTATATATTTTGCAAGTATGCTCTTGTGTAGCCATGAATTGATTTAAAATTATAATTCTTCTTGCAGAACATGATTACAGGAGCAGCCCAGATGGATGGGGGTATTCTTGTTGTATCTGCCCCTGATGGTCCCATGCCTCAAACCAAAGAACACATTCTTCTTGCACGTCAAGTAGGTATTCTATTTCCAATGTGGTTTGTTAGCATACTGTCTGAGCATACTTTTAAATCTAGAGTTGCCTTAACTTCTAGTTTAATGTACACATATTCTACGCATCATGCAGGTTGGTGTGCCATCTCTTGTGTGCTTTTTAAATAAAGTTGATGCTGTTGATGATCCAGAGTTGCTAGAGCTGGTAGAAATGGAGCTTCGAGGTAGGGTGTTTCAGACTTCCTCTTTTTCCCGTCCTCTAGGTTTTTGTAGTTTTCTATGCTAACTTGATTTACTTGGCAGAGCTGCTAAGCTTCTACAAGTTCCCTGGTGATGAAATCCCTATTGTCAGAGGTTCAGCTTTGTCTGCCTTACAGGGTACAAATGATGAGATTGGTAGAAAGGCCATATTAAAATTGATGGATGCTGTGGATGAATATATTCCCGATCCTGTTCGCCAGCTTGACAAGCCTTTTTTAATGCCCATTGAAGATGTATTCTCTATTCAGGTAAAAAGGAGGTTGACTTCTGATGTGGATTTTTTTGTAATGAGTGGTAATTGGTTACTGTGAATGTATAAATGTTATGATATTCTAGCATTACTGTGCCTGTCCTTTAATATTTTCAAACACGTTTTCAAGGAATACTTTAATGTTTAGATGATCAAGTGTGAAGTTTATTTAATTTCAATCAGATATGATCCTCTAAAAGACAGAGCGCTGCTACATTTATTTATTTGTTTGTTGGATACCAAATGCTTGTAAGTTCTCACAATTTGCATTAGTTGCCTTTTTATTTTGGAATAGTACATTGTAAATAAGTGAATGATTTCCTGGGATGCCATTACCTTATGTTTTTAATTTATTTTGAAGGGACGGGGAACAGTGGCCACTGGCCGTGTGGAACAAGGGACCATAAAAGTTGGAGAAGAAGTTGAGGTTTTGGGTCTAATGCAGGTGTGTTTTTGTGGTCACTTCCTGGATTTTGTTCTGCCCTCTGATCCTTATGCCATTTCTTCTGTTAAAGTCATAAAGCTGAATCTCTTGATCTTTTTTTGTGCATAATCGATGATTATTAAACCCTTTTTATCTCACATGGTCAATGAATTATTTTCTTGTATAAGACATTTTGACAAACTCAGTAAGCCGCACTGTTGGGTCTTAATACTATGATTTTGTTTTGGTAGGGTGGACCCCTGAAAACAACGGTGACTGGAGTTGAGATGTTTAAGAAGATATTGGATCAGGGACAAGTGAGTGGCTGGTTTCTCTATCCTTAAAAGCTATAAGCGCTGCATATATTCAACTAATTTAGAGTTTTTCCATTTACTTAGGCCGGTGACAATGTTGGTCTCCTTCTACGTGGTCTAAAAAGAGAAGACATCCAACGTGGTCAGGTCAGTGACTCATTTTATTGGACCTTGTAATGGGATTTAGGACATCTGTGGTACCTATTTGCACTACTTTCATGTTTCAACAATTTATGCAGTTTTCAATTTAAACTGCTAGTGATTTCCTGTGGGTGTTATATTTGGGAGATTACTTTGCTGACAATTTACTCTTGTTGGAAAAAGGTCATTGCCAAGCCTGGTTCTCTAAAGACATCTAAGAGGTTTGAGGCAGAAATATATGTACTCACAAAGGATGAAGGTGGGCGACACACTGCATTCTTCTCAAACTACAGACCTCAGTTTTACATGAGGACTGCTGATATCACTGGAAAAGTAGAATTGCCAGAAAATGTTAAGATGGTCATGCCTGGAGATAACGTTACGGCCGTGTTTGAATTGATTTCACCTGTTCCGCTCGAAGCAGGTCAGTATCACTTGAACTTTTCAATCTCATCTCTGCTACTGGATTTTCTTTCTGCAAAATCTTTCTTTCTTCTGTAAACTGCTGTACTCTGTGCTGGAAATGAGGACACTTCTATATACTGCGTACTATAATTTTATAGGACAAAGATTTGCTTTGAGAGAAGGAGGCAGAACAGTTGGTGCGGGTGTGGTGTCAAAAGTACTGAGCTGAGATGCATGCTGTGATTTAGCTTAGTCCTCACATTTTCGAAAGGGCTTCAAAGCACTGAGACTTGTTTATTCTCTTGAAAATACACATGCCATGTGGCAATCAATTTAATACGTAGCAGCCGTGCTGGATGGAACTGAGTAAAATTTTAAAGAAGCTCGTCTTCACTGTCATTTTTTGTAGCGCAGAATTTGTGAAACATACTCTTGGTCACTGCCGACTGTTTATTTGCCATAAATTGAAAATAATTTGTGAATCATCTTGACATGTTAGCTGGCCGTACGTGTTTGGCATGGATTGAGGATTGGTCTCTTTGAACAACAAATGCTCCATTCGATTGAAGCTTTAATGTTGATTACTTATATCCATATACAAGTTTCTGATGTGATTGGACAAGGGAAGCAATACTAGCTGCGTCTGAGCTTGCAATAACAATCACTCTAGTTTTAATCATGATGCGCAGGATCTGGAGCGGTGACTGTATTACACGACTGATTAGTATCGCTTTCATCTTTATTTTTAGAAATGCCATTTGTTTTGTCTGGAAAGCAAAAAAGATAAAGAGAATGCAGCGCTGGAGGTTAAGTGTAGGAGCGAGTGACTGATATTTTAAATGCGATTGCTAAACAAATGCTTCATTTCACGATAAGTCAGTGCAAAAGCCCTTCCTATTAATCTCTCTCAACTAACATTGATGACGGAAGTTTTAATGGAGACTGGGGAGTTTCAACGATGATGGATTATCTATCATGGACTTAAGAACGCAATTTATAGATCTCTCAGATCGTGAGCATGACATTATATTTACCTGGCGTAATGTCATTAACTTGACATTTTTTCGAACACTTCATCTAAATGGAGCAACCAGACCGGCACTCATCAATGGTAAAGTAGAGCAAACAAAAAAGTGGGCATATGCAAGAAAAATAATAAACGTTGAAAGATATACTGCAATATGATTAGTATTCACGACTAAAAACTCTCAACATAATAACTAAAGACTTCAGTTGTAATAATTTTAGATAAATAATTGGGAGAATTTTCCATTAAAACTATGGATGTGACTTAATTAGAAATCAGGACTAAATAAATTTAAAAATGTGCTATAGGGTGTGAGATTGAAATGAAAATAATTTTGTAAGGCAAATGACTCAAGTACCCTTAATATAAATGAAGAAATTTAAAAGCACACTATAGGATGTGAGATTGAAGTGAAAGTAATTTTGTAAGGCAAATGACTCAAGTACCCTTAATATAAATGAAGAAAGAGAATGTTAAGCATTTATGAATTGTTAAATGTGTAACATGACTTGTTAAAAATTTTATTTATCTGTTAAATGTGTGATATATTTTACAAGCTAAGCTAATAATTTAACATGTCATGTTAAATCTCTTATGACATTGTTTGCAGTGCAAAGTGACATAATGGATTTTACAAGTTAAGTTAATAATTTAATAAGTCATAATGAATTTAACACAAATTAAATAATTAACAAGCAATGTAATGAGCTTATCAAATGACATAAGGAAATTAACAAGTAATATAACGCTTTTAACAAGTTAAGATAATGATTTAAGAATTTTTAGATTTAATTGGGGCCTAATAAACTTATAAATAGTATTACAGATTTGGTAAATAATATAAATAATTTAACAAGTCATATTAACCAGTCACTTACATTCTCTTTCTTCATTTTTATTAAGAATATTTTAATAATTTGTCTTACTATATTATTTTTATTTAAGTTTCAATAACCTGTAATGTATTTTTAAATTTATTTAGTCATAATTTTTAATTAAATCACATACATGATTGTAATTGTAAATTCTAATGCAAAGTTCTCGCCAAATACTTTCTACATATAAACGGACACGTGTCCTGAAAGAGAGTCGGCGAAGACGGGCAAATTAGCATCACACAGGGGGTCCTTCTCTCCAATAATTTTATTTCTGATTGGAAGGAAAAAATCATATAAAGCCAATTTAGGATCGTCGAGTCACATTTATCATCCTCTCCCCTGCCCCCCCCCCCCCCCCCCCAAAAAAAAGCCCCTTCTGTATCGAAACCCTAGAAATTCATTTTACAAGAATTGCCTTAACGGAGCCCTAGATTTTCTCTTCGAGCTTTCACTTTCCCGATATAATATTCAGACACTCCGATGTGTCATGAAACTCAACTCCGTACCCGAATTCGCGTATCGTAGATCCTAGATCCTTATCCGGACATTTAAATTATCCTAACCCTCCCGCTCCGATCCGGTTTAGTTGCGATAGTTTCCCAAGAAAAGTTGACATTTGATAATTTACTCATCGTGGCTTTGGCATGGGTAAGGTTCTCCGAGAAACGTCTAAGCCATCCTCCAATTCTTCATCCCCATCCCCCTCTTCGGCACCTGCAACAACCTCATCTTCATCAATAACCGATACTGTAAGGGGTTCTCACCAGTTCAAGATCTCAGGATATTCCTTATCAAAAGGGATCGGGATCGGTAAATATATAGCATCTGACACGTTTTCAGTCGGTGGGTATGAGTGGGCGATCTACTTTTACCCGGACGGGAAGAGTGTCGAGGACAATGCGACTTACGTATCACTATTTATCGCGCTTGCCAGTGAGGGGACGGACGTTAGGGCGCTCTTCGAGCTAACGCTTTTGGACCAGAGCGGGAAGGAGAGACATAAGGTTAATAGTCATTTTGAGAGGACGCTGGAAAGCGGGCCGTACACGTTAAAATACCGTGGCAGCATGTGGTAAGTTGCCTTTATAGGATTTCTCTTTCTTTCTTAGTATTTCAAGTAAATTAAAATTTCCTCACTTACTCTTGCCCCTTAATTTTTTTTTTTTTGGTTTGGGCGCTCGGTGGATTGTCTGAAAACTTTTTTTTTTTTTGGGTAATAAAAAAACATTACTCGCAGAAGGAACATATTACAAACTATTAGGGATTCATACCCTATTCTATCGTTTTCCAGAACCCTTAACAAGAGTGAGGGGACTGGAGACAACAAAAAATAGAAGGCATATTGTAGGCCTTTCGAGGTAAAATGAATATGTTTTCGGTGATATCTAGGCTGCTCAGCTAAGTTCTGAACGTTGATATAGAATGCTGTGTGTTGATGAGAAGTTTGAGAAAGCACTGCACTGTGCACGAATGGCTTTGGATGTTTTAACTGTCTGATCGAGTTTGATGGTTTAGATTTAATATTTTTTTTTTTTAAAAAAACAAATGCCTAAATGGTTCAGAATTTTGGAGGCGTAGTGCATGTGCAGTGGAGAGAAATAAAATGAAAAGAAATCTTGTTCTAGTGCTGCTAAATAATTGGCTTCCCTTGAATAGGAAGTTAATGATAGCTCTCTCTTAGCATGAATAAAATTTTTCCTGGCAATTGGATTGCAGTTCAAGTGGTGGACTGAACAAGTCGTTGGAAATGATTTTGTTGTTATGCAGTGGAAGTGGAAAGATCTTGTTCCACTGAGGGCTACTTGCTTAATAAATGAATTAAAATGTTGCATGTGCCACAGTTTCAATATGAGTTTAGCTGTCACTTTTAAGATTTTCGTGCCTATGGATGACTAATGGATATTTATTACAATTTATCATCATATTGCTGTCTCTTGAAAAAATATTCTCTCATATCATCTAACACCCTAGAGAACCTAGTACCCATCTAAAAAATTTGACATGAAGTTATATACAGTGTGAATGTGAATTATCCTTTTCTTCATAGGTTCCATGGATACGGTTGTGTGATTGGGATTGATCAAGAGGAGCACTGCCAAAAGGCATTAAAATTTTAGAATTTATTTAATGGAAAGGTGCGTTGGAGGGGTGGGCTTTTTGTGATTTGAGGAGAAAAGCCGCTTGCATGTCACGCAGGATATCTTATTTAATTAAACAAATTATTTGTGGGTTCTGGGTACTGTGGTATGTCATGCGTGTGAACATATATATATATATATATATATTTTTTTTGGGCACTTTCATGACAAGATTTTTCAGCTTTTTTTGCTTGTACAATTTGTTTTTTATCCCATAGTTTTTTAGCCTGGTTTTTCCCCCTTGGTTTATTTGGGCAAATATGGCAGAAAATTCTGATGCGTGATCTTTTATTGTTCATGGCTAAATTCTCTGCAATACATATGAAACTATCTGTGAGAAGGTAACAGGTATGTAAAGGCTAATTGATTTCTATTGGATGGTTCAGGGGTTACAAGCGATTTTTCAAGAGAACAGTTCTGGAGACCTCAGATTACCTTAAAGATGACTGCCTCTGTGTTACTTGCAGCGTTGGTGTTGTGAGGTCATACACAGAGGGCCCTAAAATCTACTCTATACCAATACCACAATCTGACATAGGCCACCAATTTGGGCGGCTACTTGAAAGTGAAAAAGGAAGTGATGTGAATTTTGAAGTTGATGGTGAAATTTTTGCTGCTCATAAATTGATATTAGCAGCTCGTTCTCCTGTTTTCAGAGCCCAGCTTTTTGGTCCTATGAAAGATCAGGACACTGATTGTATAAAAGTTGAAGACATGGAGGCTCCTGTTTTTAAGGTTTGAATACTTGCTTTTTGTATGGCCCCTTTGGTTAATCTGTTTTTTATCCGTTGTTTGGTTATTGTGATTTTTTCCATATATGCTTTGCATATATTGTGCATTTTTCCCTCTGGCTTTGTTTTATTCTCTTTTCATAAAAGATTGGTCAGCGATAAAGTGATATAATAAAATCAGGAAGGATTATAGACAGTGTTATAAATAAAAAGGGGAGCTGAACTGGTCTGTGTTGCTGTTTTTACTTCTTGTGACTGATCAACAATTGGTCTTGTGCACAGTTCCTGCATTTTTGTGGATGTGTTGTGCTGAGATTTGTTTAGAAGAAATTGGTTTCAGTGGGTCTGTCTATCTATATCTGAGTTGTGAGAAAGGAATGCAAATGTTCTAGGTTCAGGTTTTTATTAGCAAGAAATCACCAGTTTCATTTTGATGCTTAAACTTATTGTGGATTCGATTTCATGCTTTTTCTCTTTAAAAAGTGCCAGTCATTAGCTTGATAAAATGAAGTCAAGCAATGTTAATTTGGAATTATTCTTCACTTGAACCTTCCATGTTACGCTATTTTGCAGGCATTGCTTCATTTTATATACTGGGATTCACTGCCTGACATGCAAGAGCTTACAGGGTTGAACTCGAAATGGGCAACAACCTTAATGGCTCAACATCTGCTAGCTGCAGCAGACCGGTATGGCTTAGAGAGGCTTAGGTTGATGTGTGAAGCCAGTCTCTGTGAAGATGTTGCAATAAATACTGTGGCTACAACTTTAGCCTTGGCAGAGCAGCATCATTGTTTCCAGCTCAAAGCAGTTTGTCTCAAATTTATTGCGACACCTGAAAATCTCAGAGGTTAGTTCTCCATCTATGAACTCTAATTTTATTTTGATTAGAGAAGATTTTTATCCAGCTTCTGCCTCTCTTTTTTTTCCGTGCGAGATGGACGTTGTAATTGTGATATTAGATTATCTTTAATTCAGCATGTCATGGTGAGAGAGGCTGGAGTTAAATTTATTGTTGACTGTTAATGCCAGTTGCCTGTGGTTTGGGGTTGAACAATAAGATGCAAATTGAATATGAGATGTGTTTTGGCCTGGTGGGTTTTTTTCCAGTTTAATACACAATTCAAGAGTTATTAGTATCTGTCGAATCTGATCCTGTCTAATGTATTTTTATTGGAATGAGCGACAAACATATCTTGAGGAAAAGATGGTTTTTTTTTTCTGGATGAAATGAAAATCGGATTCATGTAATAGAAGAAATTTTTTTCCTTTCCTTACTTTGAATGACATAGGGATTGGGCGAGATATGTTTTCCACGATTTGGATTTTACTGAGGATGGAATAATTATTTGTAATTTGTCAGTTCCAAACGCATCTTATTCAACTTATTACGAAAGCGGTACAGCTGAAAGACGTTTTCAAAATGTATTGTGGCAGTAAATGGGACCAACATCAATAAATATTTTCTGACAGTTTACTTAACTGCGGGAGTTCTGATGGGATCTGATGTATTAGTGGCGGCACCTACTTTTCATCATATAAAATCGCCAACTGAAGCATTTTTATTTCTTTATCTTCAGCTGTGATGCAGACTGATGGTTTTGAGTACCTGAAGGAGAGTTGCCAATCTGTCCTGACTGAGCTCTTGGAGTACGTGGCTAGATTCACTGAGCATTCAGACTTCATGTGCAAGGATAGGAATGAAGGAATACTTGATGGCAGTGACATGAATGGTAGACGGGTGAAGCAAAGGCTCTAGTCCGAACACTGGACAGCTTTATGTAACACAACCCCCCCGCCCCCCTTTTTCCTTCTCTGAAGAGAGTGAAATCTTTAGATAGAGATTATAATCACTCATAGGACTAGGTGCCATTCTTAGTTCTCTTGTATTCATATCTATGATAAGTAAATGTAGTATGTTTTGTTGGCATTTCCATATAGATTTCAATAATTTGTTATTTCCCCTCGTTGAAGAACTAAAACAGGTCTAAAGGGTATTGATCGCTGCTTAATAATCGTTGTATGTGCTCGAAATTTTTTACTTGTTGTTTATTAGCTCGCTCACGCGCTCCCTAGCAGCAGTAGTAGAACGATTAAATCACGCGGGAAGTTCAGTCCCGGATGGTGCTGCGCCTGGACTAGGATATGTCACTTTTTTTTTTTTTTGGTCAGGGTTGGAAGTATTCTTCACGATTTGTGATTTATATTAGGAAGAACATAATATTTGGTTTTTGTAGTTTGATCTTATTTTATTTTTAGTCTCTATAGTTTGTTTCAATATTTTTATTTCCTATAGATTTAAAAAGAATTAAGTGATTTTTATTTTTCTCTATAATTTTTATTTTTTAGTGATTTTAGTACTTGCAAAGATTGAGAATCTTGAAAAAAAAAATTAGAAGGGTTAAAAGTAAAACTCAATAACATTAGGATTAAAAATTATATATTTTTTTTTATATTTCCTATGATCGGAACATTTTACGATTTGGGCTGGAACGGAGCAATGCCAGTGTTGCATTCTGAATTTTAGTTTGACAAAGGCCTTTGAGTGTACTACTACACCTCAGTAGGTGCGGGCCTTATAATGAAGGGAAATAACTCAAGGAGAAAATGCAGATCTACCTTGACCTTCTACATTGTTCCACGTACTGTGATGTTTGTGTGAAGGGATGGTTATGTTCGCTGCTTTGCATGAAACCGTAAAATGTTTGAACTTTGATGATGTTCCGTTGTTGCAACCAATTGGGCCTCGGTTTTGCGTAGTTGCCTCATGCATGTATGAAAAAATGACAACCAAGGCCACACTCTACAATGCTTGCGGGAGGGAATTGTTGATTCGTAAAAGAAAGGGCCATCGTTTACCCAATACCGATAAGCCAGGAAATTACTGTGTAGCATGGGGGGCGTCCCATTGTGGTGGAGCTGTTCTTCCACAATCCCAACTTGATTCTGTAGCTAGTCCAAAGCATTTGAAGGCCGTAAGTAATTCCTTTAAGTTCAATTTGTTTGGTCGTCTGCAAGTTAAATTTAAGTTAATGTAACAATTTGTTGGTATTTAATTAAAGGTAAAAGTATAAATTTAATCATGAATTATTTTTTAAGGAATATCTAATACCTTATATTATAAGATGGTATCAAATAAATTATCAAACTATTTAAATCAAAACGTCTGACATCTTCCATCAAATGTAAACAAATGGATGTTTATTCTCCTCGTGGGCCTAGCTCTACTTTCTTCAAATTCGAACATCTCTCATTTTTAGAAACATCATTGTGCTACGTGGCATGTCATAACCCCACTCTGCAATCCTCCGAGGTCACATGCACGTTTAGAAGTGGGTTTAGCGGACTTGCATGCTCTCATCAACTATGTTTTGATATCAGTTTTAGTAGGAAGCTTGCGACGTTGATCTTGTGGATTATCGTGAAAAGGGGAGAAGGGATCGATCTGGTAAGATTAATATTCTAAGAGAGAGATGTCATATGAAGCCTCGAAAGAGTTGCAATGGCTGCCAGAATCACTCCTCCAAGCACATTAATTTCCCAGGACGCTCAGATGCATGAGTGATGACTGATGAGCAATTAGCGAGTGTTGAAGGCAGGGTTCCCTCAAGAAGATTGTGGTTGAGGAGTTGAGCTAGAGGTATTTGAGCTGCTGAAGCTCTCCCAAGGTAGCCGGAATCTCGCCCAAGAATTGGTTATACAACAAGTTGATCTGTTAAACCTGAGGAAGGTTGGGAATGACACTTGGAATCTCACAGTTAAAGGAGTTCAACAAGAGATCGACATACTTCAGACTCAACGAGAAGTCACCATGGTTCTGCTGCACATTGAGAATCTGAAGACCGGTGATGTTTTAGATTTGATAGAGAATGTTAGGCGCCCTGATTTAAATAAGTTGATAATTTATTTTACAACATTGATATAAGATACCAGGTGCTCCTTGTGCCCTTTCATTAATGGAACCTGAAGTGCTTAGCGAAATGTCAAGCGTGGCGTAGGCAGTTGCGACTGGGCTTCAACAATCGGGTGGCGTGTGGGAATTTATTAAGATGGTTGGCAGCTCACATCACGAGGGATACGTGATTTGGGTCAGCAGCAACGTGCAAAGCCGCTTGTGCCTTCCCCTCATTACTTGTGTCCACATGCAAGTTGCAAAAGTCGACGGAAAAGGCCTTTGACTTCTAAGCGTGTTCGCTGGGTTACAACTTACAACTTTGAAATAGCATAAATATATTATCAAAAATTTAATTTTGTATCATGGGGGTAACCATTTTATTACAAAATTGAAATAGCGAAAATACATGTGATTACCGTAATTATTGTATTCTGATATTTTATTATAAAACCGACGAAAAGAAAAATGAATTCCGAATCTCAACAGTCTATATTTGGAAGGAGGAAGGTGTTGCTGTGTCAGATATAGATTATCTCTGGCAATCATCGTATGACTGACGAGATTTGAACTGTCTAAATTTAATTTTAACTGTCTAAATTTAAAATCTTTATTTTATAATTTTATTCTATATTTATTAAAATAAGAATTTATGAAATTTATGAAATTTTTTAATAAACCTGCTTATCACGAAAGTACATATTTAATTTAAATTGTTCAATTTAATATTAATAAATTTTGTAATATAAATTGATTATCCTAATATAGACTGTCTAAATTTAATATTCAATTTTTTATAAATTTTTCTTTCAATAAATATAATATTAAAAATAAAAATAATCTCCTAACTATCAGTTTCAAAAAATTTATATAAGTTAAAAAATTTAAACTTGAACATTTCAAAATAAATCTGGATAATTATTTTATAAAAATTATAAAATATTAATATTAAATTTAAACTCTTCAAATTAAATATGGACTCTCTAAATAGATGATAAACATATTTATTAAAAAAAATTTACAATTTTTATTAATTTATATTTTAATTAATATAAAAATTTAAAATTTATACTATTCAAATTTAATTTAAATGCTCTGGATCTTATCACTCTAGTCATGCCAGCCATGTTAAATTGTTAATCCCTTCAGATACCAAGTGGAATGCAAGACCGGTCTGCATTTTGATGGCATGGATATTTCAGAAATCGTGTAGTGCTCAACTTTTTTTTGCGTGGAGGAATAAAATATTGGTAGCTTTACAAATAAATTAAATTAAATTAAACTAGTAATAAATGTTGTCAACTGTAGATCTAAATACCTGTATTTTCTTTTTGTTTTGTTAATTATATATATATATATATATATAGAACAGGAGAACAGGACTATAAAAACGTCGAAGAATAAAGAAGCGCGGCGGCAATAGACGACGGGCCTTTTGGAGAAGAATACCTGAAGAGAGAAAATGGGCGCTTCACAATCAGTCCCACAAGAAAGCATCCATGAATTCACTGTCAAGGTATTTTCGTCTCAAGTCTCTACTCTCACTTACAGTGATGGATTTGTAGGAATTATTGTTCATTTTCTGGGTAAACTCTTTACAGGATGCCAGAGGCAGTGACGTGGACCTCGGCATCTACAAAGGGAAAGTACTTCTTGTTGTTAACGTCGCTTCTAAATGGTTATTTTCTTTTCCCAATCCAACCCTCCGGGCGTCTTTCCATTTCTTTCATTTGCGGCTAAAAATTTTCAGTCTTTTCTTTGGGTGTTAGCTAACTGAATTCGTGGGTTTTTCCGTCAAAAATAAAACAGTGGATTTACGGATTCCAATTACACTCAGTTAACTGAACTTTACGGCAGATACAAGGATAAGGGTATGTTTTGTGCCTTTGCAGCTACCGATGTATTGTTAATTGAGTTTGAATGATTGGCCGTAAGAAATTTCCTTTTATCATGGTTGAGAATTTTTTGTTTGGTTCACTCCAGGACTTGAAATATTGGCATTTCCGTGCAATCAATTTCTGAAGCAAGAGCCTGGGACAAGCCAAGAGGCGCAAGAGTTTGCATGCACAAGATACAAGGCCGAATATCCTATTTTTGGAAAGGTATTAGCTATTAAGAATGTAGTTTACGTAGAGCAGCTGGATCCTTTACTTAGATTATGATTAACTTCCTTTTTTCTGTCAGATGTATGTTAATTAGACATTTTTTTAGCTTAAAGCGGAAATAAGTAAATAACTACCATATAGAGTGACAATAGAAGATACCAAAATGAATGAATCTACTATTACATTGCATTTTTTAATTGACTGCTTGATCCACCTTCATTAATTTCTAATGATTATAATTGACATTTCAAATGTTAGGAATTCATATTGTACACGGATAAACTGCTGTTTGTAGTTATAAAGTCATTAGCACTTAAAATCACGCTGAACCTTTGTAAAGTCCTTACAAGATACAATAAATTGAAGTCATCATGTACGATGCATTAGAATTATGATAAAAGAGTTAAGGTTTCTTCTTCCATAAAAAGCACAGTCGGTGCATATTAAATGTGATGTCTAATTAGGAGAATCCTAACCTCTCTGTGTCACCCCAAACTAGAGGCTGGTTCCTTCTCCAACTTCTCTCTTATTATGACTCAACGAGCATGGATATGGACACAATTTCATCTTTTAACCAGAAAAAAACCAAAAAGAAAAAAAAAGAAAAAGAAACGAAGATGCATATGAGTGTGTTGTGCCTTTAAAAGAGAATAGTGAAGGCATGCATCGCTCTGGCTTCCTAATTGCATCCTCCGAACATTTTTTTGTTTCCTCAAGTGTGATTCTCTCCTGTTTTTTTTTTTTTTTTTTTTTTTATGGATGCTGCATGCAAGATCGCAAAACAAAACAAGAAAGAACCCTAGGCAAGATTCCAGCACCTATTTGCAAAATCATCCATTAGACTTCTTTTCTAAGCCTGACTGTTTATACTGGCCAGACTTGCCTTCCGTGCGAGTGGATTGGTTGCAAAGAACATCTAGTAGGAACTTATATTGTGCCTGAAAGTATTTAGCTTTTTCAAGTTTTTGTTGATTGCATGAATGGGTTTTGAAGGCATAGACTGCTTCCCTTGAAGAGCACGATTCTTTCTCTCCAATTTAAGATATATGCAAATGCATTGTTAGATATTATTTTCCTTTTATGGGGTTTAGGGAGGGAAGCAGGACTATTGTTGGTTGATAAATTTCCTTAGCGGACAGATAAATTGCTTACCCATTCCCCCTCAATTTAAGAACATGCTAAATACGCTGCTTGACTTCTATCTAGACAAATTTTGGGGCCAACACTTTTCTTTTTCTGATAAATATACTTTTATTTAAAAATATGCTAAATATTCTGCTTTACTTCTAGATTAATTCAAGCATGAGAAGGTTTCTATGATCTATCTGCTTAACTTGATGCATGGACAGCTAAAGATGGCTGAATTGAGCTAATGGAAATTGAACTTGAGCAAGAGGCTTAATTTGCTTCCTAGCATTTCATGTTTCCTAAAGTCTGACTTACTCCTGTTTTTTTATGGATGCTGCAATATCACCAAACAAAAAAAACCGCTAGGCAGGATTCCAGCATCAATTTCCAAAATCATCCATTAGACATTTTTTTCTAAGCATGAGTATTTATACTGGCCAGACTAGCCTTTCTATGCAATTGGATTGCTTACAAAGGACATCTGGTAGGAACTTATATTGTATATTTGAAAGTTTTAGCATTTTCAAATATTCTTGCTCGCCAAATTTATGATATGCAAATTGCAAGTGCATTGTTAGATATTCTTTTCCTTATATGGGGTTTTAGGGAGGGAGGCAGGAATATTGTTGGTTGATAAATACACAGCTGAATTGAGCTAGTTGAAATTGAACTTGAGCAAGAAGCTTAATATGCTTCTAAAGATAATAAGAATTATCATCAAGTATGATATACCTTAGGGAATATTTGAGATACGGCTTGAAATATACTTCACTTGAGCATGAAGATAGACTAATGTTTATACTTTGTAAAATTTTAGAGCTTTCTAAAACCATATAATGTCATTTTCAAGTTGGGATACTTCTAGGGCTTTTCATTTTCTATAAGAAAATGGACAAAACAAAAGAGGTGATAGTATGCTTATTTTATCGACCTTAGTGTGATGTTGTGAAAATATTTAGCTAATGTACACCTTATGACGGGAATTAGTAACAAAAGACAAATTGTGAAGTTGTTGAAACTTTTGAGTGCGGTTCATCATCTTTCATCTGTGATTTGAACGCTGAACAAGAAACAGTATCTTGGAATCTGAATTTTCTTGTAGTTAAGAATTAAGATATTGATATTTAAGCATGCTCTGAGCCTCAGAAATGTTTGGTTGGAGTTTAGTGCTCCCCATTTCCATACATTTTAGAGAAGCCATCTGGAAAAAAACTTGTTTGAGGTGAAGGTGTAATATGCCCTGCGCATGGATGATTATGTTGATCTTTTTAGAAAGAATTAATAAACTTGTTCTTTGGTGTGTGATGCGTCCTTTGATATGCGATATGTTGCTTTACTGTATAGCATTGGTTGTTAACATACTCCTTTATACATGCAGGTACGTGTCAATGGACCAGATGCCTCTCCGGTTTATAAATTCCTTAAATCACAGAAAAATGGGTTTCTGGGTTCTCGGATAAAATGGAATTTCACCAAGTTTTTGGTTGACAAGGAGGGCCATGTGATCCAGCGTTATGGTCCAACCACTCCACCATTGGCATTTGAGGTATTCTTCCTCTTCATATTCCCACTCTGTCGTTCTCTGTATGTGTCGTACTAACTGCTGAGGTTGGTAAGCAAATGTGCTGAATCATTGTTCTTTCACAGAATGACATCAAGAAGGCGTTGGGAGAGGCTTGAGAGAGAGCACCACTACAAACTAGCGATCGAGTTCAAGATGTCTGTAACATAGCAATGTATATTCGATAGGTCTTGGTTCGCCTGCTCATTATGTATACATATTTTATATCTGTTTGTGTTTGTTGTTTATCAGAGTTCTGTTTTCGCCTTTTCGATATCAGTTTTATTTTGAGAAGTTGATTCATGGATACTTGAGTTTGTCATTTGTTCATGTAAACGTCACTGTTGTAAAGTGGAAATAGTTTGGCTGTAAAATGCAGTGATAATTTTTGTATTATTATTTTAATTTAATGGTATGGTGTTTATACCCAATTGATAATAGAATCATACTGACATCGCAATATCGAAAATATATCTAAGGATAGAGAAATCTCCTTTTTTTTTTTGGGGGGGGGGGGGGGGGGCGCCAACAGAGCACCCTTTATATCCAACACTCCCTTCAAGTTGAAGTTGACACCTCTTCGATTCCAGGTGCTCAGCTTGCCAACACAACGCAAGGAGGAAAAACACTTGTTGAAATATTTACCATAAAACTTTGATCAACTAGATCACTCTCAAATTTGGTCAACTAACCAACATTTTCAACTTACAAAACAACATGAACAACTTGAAGATATCTCGAGACGTGTTTATCTTCTCTTGCTTGAACTCGTGGCATCATTTCAGTAATTATGCAAACCACTCCTCGATCTGGTGACTTGAATGACTTCTTCCTTGATCAGCATCCGCCCCATACAAAGTAACTCTTCCATGTTTTGAAACAATGATAAGAAACTTGCAAGTAAAATCCATGAAAAACAGGTCCTTGCTTCATGATAAGTGGACTTGAGATTTTAGTGACCCGGACCCCTCCGCACAATTTCTTCAATTATTTGAGCAGATAGAAGATCCAAATCACTAACAACAATCCATGAAAGTTGAAACTCTACATCAAACCTCTGGAATATCTCAAGCAACCGTGCTGTATACTTGAAACAATCCCCATTGATAAAGCCAATTACCTTTTTTTTTAAGTCTCGACCCATCATTGCATTCTGCATCAAGTAGACTTGTTTAGAAGCCCCAGCCTTCGCGACGGAAAGTGTGTACAACGCCAAGCTTATATAATAGTACAACGGCACTTTCTACAATTCCGGCAGCTTCATGACCCAGAATACGTGGGAAAAGACTTTCAAGATCCTTGTCTCTCCAAGTATAAGCATCGGTATGGCAGAGAGCAGTGTAAAGAATCTAGACTCGAACCTCGCCAGACTGCAGTGGGGCCACCTTCAAGATTTCGCTTGTCGCAAACAACACCAAAACTGATTTCTTGGCCTGTTCTTGCTTTGTGTTGCCGTCAAGATCAACAACATCACCAATGAATTGGCACACTTGATCAATCACACCCTTGCCAGTGAAGTCATCAACGATTTTCCCCCTTTCCAACAACCTTCTTCACTGAAGGAGAGGCAGCGGCAGCTTAGATCGATGAAGAATTCAAATGAACGCTCGCTTGATGGTGGCCGCCGAGGATATCTGATGAAGTCTCGTCGATGGCAAGTGGCAACAAACAACGGTGAGTGAAATCGAAGACAACAGCCGTTGGTCATGGAGATCAAATCACCGGTAATGGACAGGCTAACCGGCACTGAGATCTTACCGTTGCCTCATCAAGATTTATTCTCAGGCAAAACAGCAAGGAGGACGAACTAAATCGGAGACAGTAAAGTGGAACAATGGGCATCGCGACGGCAATCCGTGAAAGAGAAGAGAGATGTGAATTGCGATGCAGTGGAGACACGAAGACGCGTCCGCATCCGCTCATCAAGGCCAGAGCGGCCCTCTATTTCGGTCTTATTTCATGTCTGTCGTTCATTTAAATTATTTTTTAAAAAAATTAATTTTTTATTCTTTTAATTTTTAATTTATTTATAATTCAATCTCTTAATTATAACTTACTGTAACTTAATTTTTCAATTATAATTCATCTATAACTCAATTCCTCAATTTTTGAATCACTTGTAAATTAGTCCTTAAGTTTTTGTTATTTTTTTTCATGTTAACTTATATTTTACATCAATGAGCAAGAGAATGATACTTTAGAATAATATATGAGTATTTTTTTATCTCTCTTTATTTGATAAAAAATTTAAAAAATTAAAAAATAAAGATCGAATTATAGGTGAATCAAAAGTTGAGGGATTGAATCGCAGCGAATTATAGTTGAGGGATTAAGTTATAGCGAGTTATAATTGAAAAACTGAGTTATAAGTGAATTAAAAATTAAAAAATTAAAATATTAATTTTTTCTTAATTTTTAAATGTTTTTAATATTATTTTTATTAAAATAAAAATGTAAAAAAATTTAATATTAAATTTAAACTATTTTTTTGACCAAACAATTTAAACTATTTAAAAGATATTTAAATGATTAATTTATAAATTTTTTAATATTAAATTAAGTTATTTAAATTATATTTAAATTGTACAAAGCCTATTTATATAGTCAAATTATAATATTATAAATTTTTTAATATTAAATTAAATTTATACTGATTAAATTGATAATGAACAAATATGTTAAAATTTTAAATTTTTTTATATTAATAACTATAATATTAAAAATATTTAAAAAAATAATTTAAGTAAACGATAGAAATTAAATAAAGTTGAAATGAAGGGCAGCATTCGGACACGAAGGCTCAGGTTGTTGTGATTCTGATGGGTTTCGGATCTTGATTATCGGACCCAAATTTCACGTGATGCTTCTTATTGGCCAGTCAGATCTTTTTATCACTGATTCAATTCTCGAGGCAACAATCTTGGAAGGCTGCCCAGAGAAGGCACTTTTGTGGGCTGCTAATGTTGGTTTCTTGGCCCAAATCTTGCAGATCGTCCTTTGAACAATCACTAGGCTCAAAGATAACCTGTCTGTGATACCATGTTAAGAATATTGAACAAGAGAATATTAACAACAAAGATAATGAAAGCCTTGCATTAAGCTAATCAGGTGATTTTCAAACCTAACTTTGAAGCAAACAATGAGATGAAAATCTTTGTTAACCTCCCTCTTGAAGTGAAATACAACCCTCTAGCTTCTAATAGTATATGATGCCCTTTATGTAAAATTTAGGGTGATCAATAATAAGGTGACTCCTAATACAGAATGAAACAAAAACGCATTTAAAAAGCACACTGGAAGAGACAAGAAACAAAATCCAAAGGAGTAAACTAAATTCAGACGTAAACCTGCAGGTTGCAGCATCCCTGATCACGGGAAAGGTATAGTCTGAGTTGGTGGGGGCAGACCCAACACTGCTGCACTATAAATATCTCATCTCTTGATTTTTACCAGTCATTAGTCAATTCTGCAGAGATAAGGTTATGAAAGCTTCGTTTACCAGAGACACAGAAAAAAAGAAGTCATGAAAACTTCCTGTTGCAATCTATTGCTCCATCTAAACTCATAATGGAAGTCAGATGGGCCAAGAACGAGGACCCCGGCTTTCTCTTGTGGTGAACAAAACCCAAGCTCATAGAGCCGGGTCCCACAATGTCTGCTTATGGACTCACACAGAAATGATAGTGGGACACAGTCCTTTAACGTGAGAACACCCTCTGTGAACATATTTACCAGGAAGTTTCTGAATAGGAAGGGTTTTGAGGTGGTCTTGACGCGGCTGACATGTTGAATGGAAAGTGACACCGTTTGGGTTCTGCTTTACAGAGACACAGTACACGTGACCATGGACTCTCTTGGGGGTACCTTCTGGCCCTTCATCTTCTTGTTCCTATTCACTCTTCATGATTGTGGCCTCGTGTGGAAAGGCTACTTCTTTAATCACCATGAATTGCGCATGCTCTCTAGTCAATTAATGCAAGCATGCATGCAATTACAAAGTTTCAGAAGTTATGTGAATTCTAATGGCTTTGATTACTTGAAGGTTGTTGGCCAAAGAAAAAAAAATTGATTACTTGAAGATTTTTCAAACTATGTGGTACACCAAATTTCTCGTCAAATGTGTGTCCATGAACAGTCTTGAAAGGATCAACTATCAATTATCAACCCCTCGGGCTTTTTCAAGTAGGGTGCCCCTCCTGCTTTTTCACTAGCAAATACCCCCGAAAGAGCGTTAACTACGATGGAACCTGCATGATATTTCTTGGGGTCCTTTTTATAAAGCTATGTTAACTATTTTTTTATATCAGGAAAATTAATTAGAATTAGTTTAATGCTAAAGATTATTTTCAACTTTTTAAAATTATTATTAGTCAAACTAAACCTTGATTTAATTTTTGATAAAGATGTTTTTGAAAATGAGTCATAAATGTTTCATTAAATTTTACAAACGGTCTTGTATTAATAACTAATAGGTTGGTGTTATGAATAGGATTAGAGAGGGCGAAATATTTTATTATTAAAAGAGGTTGATGAGCAATTATTGTTCTAACAAGTATTAAGGATCCGGAGACGCGCACTTTGTGGGAATTGAGTGAGGTTATATCAGAAAAACGTGGGGAGAAGCGGGTAAATGTGAGGCCTGAGGCGACAAATAATAAGGATATTCACGAGATAGATGGAATCAAAACACCTTTGTTTTGTGCTCTCTTTTGAAAAAGGATTGAAACTGAAACTTTGTCTCGTATCTCATTTTGTTTAGAAAGTCATCCTGCTTTTTTAGAAATTAGGATGGGAATGAGACGAGATCAAGACATCCCAGAGTCTTGATAAATTAAACAATATGAGAAAAAAATTTAAATAATAATATTTATTAATAAATCACATAATTTAGTAAGTTTAAAATAAAAATAACACAAGTACATAAATTATAACAATATAAAATTAATATTAAATTACATCAATCATAACAATAAATCTATAACATATTATGATAATAATTATAAGTGATTTTTAAGCTATAAAAGTAATAACAACAAACAAATCAGGTACAAAATCAAGTAATTGTTTTTCTTCTTTAGTTTAGATACTCTGAGTGAATTATTCTTCTAAAAATAAAAAAATACGATGTAAACAAAAAACTATTAAAAATATGGATATAAGAATAAATTATATTAATATAATTAATAATATTACAGAGAAAGATATTATCATGTACTGCTTACTCTGTGTCATTAAAATTATCAATATAAAAAAAATTTACTTTTAAATAAGAATTGCATGTATTAAAATTATAGTTGATATAATTAATGTAAATACAAATTATATTAATATAATTAATATATTTAATATATATCTTTAAACTAAAAAATAATATATATATATATATATAATATTTAGGATGAAATGGGACATTTTGAAGGAAATTTCGTGT